GGATAATGGATTAAGTGGCGCGCTCTCAAATGATGCGATGTCTAACCCTTACCTTTAATATGCAAATCCTCACGATTTTCATTCCCTGGGTTTATTCTATTATAAATTATTCTAATTTTAAAAACTTCAAGAGAATGATCTAAATATATTAATCATCTACCTCAGGGATTTAATGTTCTACTAAACGACTTTTTACATGACAAGCTTTCCTACGTTAATTGTGCTTAGTTAAGTTTTGAGAGTCGATTCAAGTGGCAATTTTCAGTAGAGTAGGGGTAATACCTCGATGGTATGATTAATTTCAGCCCCTGTCGTTGTGGGATGATATGAACATGAAGCTACGGAATTCAACACATTGACGCTGCAAGACACGAGTTATTCTCCTACCTTTACCTTTAATATGCGAATCCTCAAGATTTTCATTCATTGGGTTAGAGGCATGGGTATCATCTTCATCGATAGGTTGGCAGCCGCTATTCAATACCTCTGTTGAACTACTTGCTTGTTCTTTGCCAGTATTGTCTGATCCCAGATAGTCCATGTTAGATTCTTGGTCTTCGTTATTTCTATTATTCATTTGGTCATTAAACTCTGCACAATTTTCATCCTTTAAGCAAGAAACATGAGTGTCTTCTTGGCTATCAGGATGGATGTTGCTATTTAGTACCTCTTTTGGACTGCCTACTTTTTCTGTGCCAGCAATGTCCAGTTTCACAGAGTCCACATTAGTTTCTGGGCCTTCGTTACTTTTGTTGTTCACGTTGTCAGTGTCTTGTTTAGACTCACGATTTTCATCCAATGGAAAAGTGATTTGAGTTTCGCCTTCATTAGATTGGTTGTTGCTATCATCATCGTTTTTTGGGTGGGCATCGGAATGGTTACCATAAGGCATAGGCCTACTATCTTCCTCATGCTTTAAGTTCTCTGATGTATCTTTAACTACAACTTCCGAGGCCTTGCTAGTAGCCTGATCAGAAGAGGTTTCTCCACCTGAAATACAAGCAGTGTTGGTATTAACAAAGATTATATCAAATGTGGAAACTTTATTTAGCCGATACCTATTCGTTCACAAAGCATTTTCGTGATGATTAGTTAGGCCGTACTCCAACCCAAACATTAAAGCTAGGCAAATTCGAGTTTAAGCCAGAAAAACAAACACTATCATTTACTGTAGGCTTGCATTTTAAAATCTATAAAAAATAAAATTAAATGACATGTGACTTGAAAGAGTTAATATTTTAATTAAGTTGCTGTATCTGGCAATTAATACTTTTTATAACATTATTCAAATATGTCATGCTAAATATATACAGTACTGTTTAAAGGAAATAAAGATTAATCAATTATCTCAAGGATTCAATGTTTTACTGAACGATTCTGTACATGACAAACTTTCCTACATTAATTTTGCTTAGTTCAATATTTGAGAGTGAGTCGAGTGGCAGTGTACACATTTGGCTCATGTGCACTTTAAATAACCCCTTGCATCTTTCAGAAAAGTAAGAGGTTGCACTTTCAGAAGTGTACTACCTCGATGATATGATTCATTTCAGCCCCTGTCGTTGTGGGATGATATGAACAAGACGCTACGCAATTCAACACAATATAACAACTTTTTTTAATCAGCTGCACACGTTATGCCGTGCGTTCACGATAAAACTATAAAACAACAGACTAAAAAAGATTTCCTGAGATAAACAGTAACAAGTGCTTTCTTCAAGATTTATTGTAAAACTCGTGTTCTAACAGGGAAAATCCACTACATCTTATATCATAAAGTCCTATATTCAGTACATCCGAGATATTTATAACTACTAGTTTATCTGCGAGTGCTTCATCCATTTTGCCTAAAGTTCGCCAGTATTATAATACTGTTAAGTTTATTCTTACGATCGTTTGTACAGAGAAATTTCATTCAAAGTTGGAAGTTTCAATGCGTAAATATTGTCGTTCTTTTTATGCACCCCCCTTAAAATAATCATTTCAAAAATCCTTATTGTTAGGCCTCCATTTCTTCGTTATCTCTTTCAATACGTGTTTCCATTCCTTTTTGTTTTTATTTCTCTCATTACATTACGGCGTTTTATTGTTCCATAGTCTAGCACGTTCATTTGATGATAAGCTTTTGGCAATTACAATTAAGAACCATATAATAAAAAGTTATTGTCTCCAATACGACCATTAAAATTCCCCATGATGAGTATATAAAAGGTTCATTCTTACCATCATTTTCAATTTTTAAAACTTCAGATTAAGGCTTGGTATGTAGTTCATCAGCCAGGGAAGAATCGTTTTCCGGAAAGTACGTGACAGCTAAATACTGCTTGTTAGTGCCTGTTATGTTGGGTTACAATGTTAACCCAGAAACGTTCACATTCATCGTTCCTTGAATCAAATAGATTTTCATCTACAATTTGCACCTCTTCCTTAATAAATAAGCCTACACCACCGCCGTCCATACCAGTGGAAACTTCGATCAGTTTTTTTTTTTAAATGCCTCAAGAAAGTATAATCTCTAAATATTAGGCACTGTATATTTAGCCGGTAGTATATCTATTTTGTTTACAAAGCATTTTCGTAATGATTAGTGAGGGCGCACTTCAACCCTAACCTTGAGGATAGTCAAATTCCGGTTTTAGCCGGCATAATAATAGACCGAATTAGCGACGAAAGATGACGTCATCACAATTTGGCCGAGTGTGTATAAAATTGTAAACAAAGCCTAAAAGTCCTATTCTATAACGTTGCGAGTTTATGTATGGTCCAGGAAAACGATAAAAAAAAAACCAAAGTACGCGGGTAAAATACTTTTTAAAACATTGGTAGGTTAAGGAAGGTTCATAGAACCATCAGAAGACGTTTGATTTGATTTTAATGTAAAATTAAGTTAAATATACGTAGAGTTTTTACAGACTAGGACTCGGCCCCTGTCACTTGCACGACAAGTACGCGACATGGCTGGATGTGATGATTGAGTGAAGCCTGACTGTAAACGTTCAGCTCCGTGCTGTCGTCAAGTCTTTTACTTGTTTAAACATCCAGTCTGCCAAAGTTATTGGTGTGAATTTAGGAACATTATTCAATAATTTTGAATAACTTAGCTCTCCTTGAAATCTGCAAGTACAACACATGTCATGAGTTTTGCAACAAGCACATTCATCGACCGACGCCATGATTCACTGTGAATGAATACACGGCTGCTGCTGTCGTTGTGCTGTATTACACAGGCAGACACGACCAATGTACGTTTTATTCCCAAAATAGTACGATTTATTCTCGTTATATTTCACATTTGGCATACACAATCGTAGAGAAAAGATTACGTTACATTCATAAACATGTAACAATGGTTCCTGTAAATTTAAATCACGCTCAACTTTACACACAAAGCGTGTATGAGACGTTTTAGTAAAGGCTATTTTCTTATTTTGTGGCGGTGACGATGACGGTAATGATGATGATCAAGATGATGACAATGGTGATAATACATTATGATGATGATGGTCATGTTGTTGATGATGATGATGGTGGTGGTGGTGGTGACGATAAAGATGATGATATTGTTTTGGTTGATGAAGCAGCATAAATTTGAATTAGTAACCCGTTCAAACGAATTAGTAATCACGGATTAGTAATCCGTTTGAACGGATCAGGCCTCAGATCTGTTCACATAAATTAGTAATCTGTTCAAACGAACTAATAATCCATTCAAACGAATTCGAAATCCGTTCAAACTAATTCAAAATCCGTTCAACCGAATTAGTAATTCGTTCAAAATAATTAGTAATTTTAGGCCTACTTACACCTACGTTTCCTTTCATCGAGAGACTGCAACATTCTAAAATATTCAAGAGACTACGACGAGAAACTAATGAACTTGAAACTTTATGAATAAAATGGTGTTTGTTATTAATATTATTAATATATAGTTTAGGATCTAAAAAATAAATTTATACGTAAGGCTTTCAGGAATGAGATTTCATTCAAGATCTTAGAACCTTCAAAACTACCTGAAGGGTAAGGACGATACAAAGAACCTACCTTCTCAAAAGAGATCGCTGATGAATGAACAAAATACTCTACAGATAAATCATATCAAAACTAACCCAATCAACCAAAAGTTAGAAAAACCTTGAAAAGAAGAAGCAACAAGTCTACACCTATGGCCGAGATCAGATAATTTACGACCTCATGAGGAAACTTCCAAGCACACACCATATTAGCCACCATATACAACAAAAATATGCTGCATTCCCGAGCATCTGCTTCTTAATGGACCGAAAGCAATATCAAACGTATTTACAAAAAAAAAATGCGAAATGACACTCAATGTAATTTTCGCATGGAACCTCTGACGTCATGTACCGGGAGGAATTGTTTATACTTATGGTGGATGTCATCACTTCAAAATGTTTACCAATGCGTGGTAAACGCGTTTTCTTCACATACTCGCAAGGACGTCCGAACGTCAAGTCTAAAAATCCGAACGTCAAGTCTAAAAATCCTAACGTCATGTCCAAACTACATAACGTCATGTCAAACCACATAACGTCATGTCAAAACCACATAACGTCATGTCCAAACCACATAACGACATGTCCAAACCACATAACGCCATGTCCAAAACCACATAACGCCATGTCCAAACAACATAACGTCATGTCAAAACCACATAACGTCATGTCCAAGCCACATAACATCATGTCCAAACACCACATAACGTCATGACCAACCACATAACATCATGACCAAACAACATAACGTCATGACGATTGCTGAAAACCGAAGATACAAATGGCATTATTAATCAGGGCCGGCGGAACGATTTTCAATATTTTAGAGGAAATTGGCCTACCTCAACAAGAAATGCTCTTATGTTATATATGGCCACACTCGTTTTTTTAAACTGAATATAAGCATTTTCCTTATGGCTTTATTTATTACAAACATATTCTTTCAACATCATTACATATTGAGGCCCTTCTTTTAGGTAAAACGATCTATCTTAAATTTTCATTCTTGAGTTTGGGAATATGTATTATAACTTCGAAGGCAAAAGAGAGCAAGCACAAGCTTGAAGATTAAAAAAATGCGCGAAGCGCGCGAAATTTTTTTTTTTTTTTTTAAATTCTAATTACGTCGGAATTGATCAAAACTCTCTAATGCAATTTTTAGAGGAAATTGGCCTACCTCAACAAGAAATGCTCTTATATATGGCCATTATATATGGCCATTATATATGGCCATTCCGGGGTATTGTAATATCTGTTCATTATATTTTCCTTTTTATTCTTGTCTTTATTTTTCTCTTCTCTTTTTCAACATTCCTCCCCCGGGAAAATTTCGATTTCTAGGTGGCGGGAAATGAGCTTTCCCGACAT